AGGAACTAATGCTGCTGCTGGATCCTCTGGTGGTCCCACAACCCAGTCATCCACACATAATGGAGAGGTTTTAACTTTACCTTGATCTCACTTTTATGTAGTTTCTTATGGGACATGTCAAATGGATGATGCACGTTTTTTGTTTATGTTGGCTTATCATGGCTATGGATCAGGGTAGTGCACAGGAAAAGCTTAGCACAAGAATAACAGCAATTATATAAGCTAAAGCATGGGTTTGTAATCACATTTAGCTATAAATATAGGTTTGTAAGTTCTTGAAATAGAGCACGGTCTAGTTAAGCTAGCTTGTACATGACTGAAATAGTTAATAAGTTTCAGCATCAAACAAAGGTTTAAAAAAAGACTGTATGTAACTGCCGGAAAGTAGAGGAGCATAAGTTTTTATGAACAAATATAGTAAAGCTTAATTAGATACAAAAGGCTTACAAAATAATGAGCTAAATTCTAGTTAATTAGGCATAAACAGAAGTTAAACATGGCATGGTGTACATCAACAAAATAAGTTTTACTGCATTTCATAATTAGTTAGAGCATGCAGGATTAGTCCTAATATAAATGAGACTTAAACAAAGAGAGTGCAAACATAAACAGCAAAAACAATCAATAAGTATAAACTAAATGGCTAAGGAGTCCGCTGTCCACTAGTTTGTGTATTCACACTCCTGTATTCAAGCGAGTCTCAGTACATCCCTACTGCATGCATAGAGGTCCACTCTTCTCAGTAGATCCATAACATGTTAAACCAAAACATAACACGCACCTACATACATACAAGATCATGTATAACACAATCTGTTTATAAATTAAATTATCATTAGAAGCATATAAATATATGTGTGTCTCATTCAGCTTACATTGAATTTCCCTTTAGTCCTTGGACTTTGGCTGATGACTATAAAAGAAGTGGCATGTGAGCTACTTTAGGGATGGTAGTATGGTTTTTCTATCATGTTAGCATATGATCTGAGTATGCGTATACAGAATATGTGGTAGGTGTTTGGCTATGGTGCTGGTTTAAGTGAAATCTCCATACTCACACAGACCTGGAGTTTCAAACTTCTACCTGTTTCTTCCTTATATGGTTTACAAGTCCTTTTTGTTTGTCTATCTCATTTCAAGCATGTGGATTGCCACTATGGTGCAGTAATGCCTCCATAGTTAATCTCCTATTTGTCCTCTTTGCTTTAGAATTACAACCTGAGTGAAGGATGAGGTAGTTATGTACAAGCTTAAGGGAAGCTCCCTTGACTAGATGATGAGCCCTTCAGCTTAGTGCTGAGTTTACATCTCCCCTCGTACTCTCTAGGCCTTGGGCTGAGCTAACTTTTTCTCCAGAAAGTGTTCTATGTTTTGTTATGCAGTTTTCTTCTATGTTATTTTGAGGATTTTCTGTAGGTTCTACTGTTTAGAATCTGTTTATTTGTGCTGTAATAATGGATGAGTTTATTTCTCTATAATATAATAGTTTATTTGTGGCAAACAAAAAAAAAAAGAAAAAGTTTCATATTAATGATTGAATCTATATTGTTCTGAATGATTGATGTTTACTTGAATTATATTACTAAAAAATCCTCAACTATTCTGTTTTAATTGTAAATGCAGTTTGAACGCGAAATATTGGAGGCCTTTACTGCACAGCCCAAATATATTGACAAGTACAAGGCCTTTAATGAAGATTATAGGAAAAGATATGGAGAAAGTTCAAAGGTATGATTAATGATCTTTAGTTTATGCACAAACTAACAGGAGCACCAATGCAATTCGTAATCTGGATTTGGGAAGCAAGCCCAGAAAAAAGCGAGGGCCAGCCATATGCAAGAACTGGTCAGCAAGCCTACAAAAAGGCTACGGCCAGCCATATAGAAGATTTCTATCAATGATCAGCCATATAGAAGACTGCGCCATGATTAGATTGGAATAAATGATGCGCCATGATTAGATTGGAATAAATGATGCGCCATGATTAGATTTGAATCAATGATCAGCCATATAGAAGACTGCGCCATGATTAGAAGACTGCGCCATGATTGCGCCATGATTAGAAGACTGCGCCATGATTAGCAGACTGCACCATGATTAGAAGACTGCACCATGATTAGCAGACTGCGCCATGATTTAAAGCCATGATCAGCAGACTGCGCTATGATTAGATTTAAAGCCATGATCAGCCAATTGGTAAATATTTAATTTTAATTGCGCCATGATTAGAAGACTGCGCCATGATTAGCAGACTGCGCCATGATTGCGCCATGATTAGAAGACTGCGCCATGATTAGAAGACTGCACCATGATTTAAAGCCATCATGATTGCACCATGATTAGCAGACTGCGCCATGATTTAAAGCCATCATGATTGCGCCATGATTAGAAGACTGCGCCATGATTAGAAGACTGCACCATGATTTAAAGCCATCATGATTGCACCATGATTTAAAGCCATCATGATTGCACCATGATTAGCAGACTGCGCCATGATTTAAAGCCATCATGATTGCGCCATGATTTAAAGCCATCATCAGCAGACTGCGCCATGATTTAAAGCCATCATCAGCAGACTGCGCCATGATT